CGAATTTTTTTCCCAGGGGGTTTTTTTGGAATTCCCAGGTTCCAATTTCGGGTTCCCCTTGTTACCCAACCTGGGCCCGGGGGGGGGGGGGCCCCCTTAGCCACCTCTCACCTGGATTCCCCCCTGTCCGTCCTGCCCCCCTAGGCTGCAAAGTCAAAAGTTACCTTGTTCAGCCAGGATGCTGTTGGATTGCAGCCTTTTGTGGGAGAGAGTTCCCCCTATGATCAGCTGTTTAAAAGGCTTTGGTATACAGTGTGGTATACAGTGCGGTTATAAAACCGCCAGTTTTATCAGAACTTACTCTTACAAATAGGAATGGCTCTTCCAGATTGCCACCTGGCCCCCAAGGACACACTGTGCGCCTTTGCGATGCTGGATACAAGGGAAGCGAAGGCCAGTGGGCTTCAGCACAGGCCAGTTGAAATGATCTTTCTGTCTAGTTTAGACTAGTCAGTTTACAGGTCGCATCCACTGTATTACTCTTCACTGGTCTCTCCTCATTCTTTCTTCCCTCCTTTATGGCTCACCTGTGTTAGAACCAGTAACCTGAAGGAAGGGTTGTTTTTTCCTAACAGCTGGGACACCAGTGGGAGGAAGGGCGGTGGGGGGAAGTGAGCTCTGAGGTCCCCTCTGGGCTGGGAGCTAGAGTGAAACCTCACTGAGAGCAAAACAGGAAACCAGGGCGCCGACAAGGTGTTTACGCTGCCGCTACAGGCCGTCTAGCTGGCTGGGAACTCTGAATGTGGTCCTTCCCGCTAAATGTTTAAAGAAAAGCAGTTCTCTTTTTAAGTATTTTCTGAATCAAATGGGACGGATAGGTGTTTTCTAGTATAAGTAGAAAGGGAAGTACTTCAATGAAGAGATTAAAAAAAAGAATTATAACTTAGAAATATTGGAGCACAGTGTAGACACATTTTTAGGCAGCACTTAGTGTTCAATACGCATGTAGAATATTTGACTAAAATACTTCTCGGAAGTTAAATGCCCCCTCTTAAGTTTTGTTTACTCTTTATTCTCTTACCTCCGAAATAGCAGAAATTATAAAGTGATCAAATTCCAATCAGTATAGTTTACAAAATCATATGTGTAGCCATCACCGAGTCTTCTCCTGGCATCACAAAAATTCACTTGAGTTGTAAACTCACATTAACCAAGTTGTTGTGAATTTCCATGAGCAACTTCTTAGCTTTCTAAATGAACACTATTTCTATTTAATTGGTATTTGCCAACTATCAATGAATCCAGGGTCTAAACTATCCATACATATTGTAGAAGATGGCACCAAGCCATTTTAGGATATTTCTAGGGTCCTTAGTTTGCTATCCTAAGGAAAAGTTAAAATGGTACTGATACTGTTATAATTAACCCAGTTTTTCGTTAATTAACAGGAAAGGAGCAAAGGGAAGGCCAGATAATGTAGGCAAGCCATTCGTGCCAGAAAGCTGAAGTTTTACACTCTTCTGGTCTGTTCCCTGCAGATCCTGGGGAAAGGGACTGGGCAAAGAAAGAATAAACCCAGACCCAGGAAGGTCTGGGAGTAGGTCACCAGCCATAATAGGCGTGGCCACTGCAAGGGTGTGATATCTGAGAAACGTAAGCTCCTGAACAAAGGGAGTTCCTGCTCCTGGCCCTCTTGCTCTCTCGGGACTCTTGTTGTAGGCGGTGTGCTCTCACACTCTGCACTCACCCACATGGCCCACAGCCATGTCCACCCCACACACAATGGACTAATGGAAGACAGGTGACACCAGGTGACTGGTGCTATGCCAGACTTAACTCCACATGGAAAGGAAACTGGACACTGGCTTTGCTTCCAGCTCTGCTGACCAGCTACACCTTTTCCAGGGCTGGTTTAAGGGAAATGGGACTTTTGAAACCCAGGGATATAACTTCATACAAGTAAAAATCTCTCATTCTCCCATGCGAGTCTTAGAAAGCTCTTTTTCTCAAGATCACGTAAGATCCCCTCTTCTGCTAGCAACAGGGAAATGCCACCCATCCAATTCTCCAATGACAGCGTCAGTCATGCAGCTCCATCCCTGTTTTTATATTTCACAACATCTTTAAAATCTGAGTGACAAATGTAGGCTAATTGTGCCTAAACTGGCCCTGTTGTTTTTATCGCTGAAAACTAATTTTTAAGAAGTGTGATCGTTCTCAAAAAGATACCAGGTTGTAAAGATGAAACAGATTTGGCTGTGTATTGATAACTTGCAACTTGATATTGAATGATGATTTATTATACAATTTATCTACTTTCGTTGGCAAAGAAATACAGACGTTGTCAAAACATAAGCCAGCATTTTCCAGGTTCTAGGAAAGAAGCAATAGTCCATTAATAAAAGAGAGGATCTTGCATCAGAAAGGCATCTCATCCTTCCACAGGCTGCATTGTCCAAAGTGTGTCTGGACAGATTCCTGGTGTCAACTGTCTTCCTGTTTTGTAATCGTGTTGTTCTCTTGTGTGGCCGTAGGTTCGTGTGACTGTGTTTCCCTCCAAGACGGCAGCTCAGCACTCGGGAGTTCCTTGGTGGATCATCCTTGTGGCCATTCTTGCTGGGATTTTGATGCTTGCTCTATTAGTTCTTTTATTATGGAAGGTAAGTGATACCGGGCATTTGAATTTTGTGATTATAAACTTTATTTCTTGTTTTAAAAAAAGTGAATTCACACTAATAGTGTGTGAATATATAAATTATTATATAATTTCTTTTCATTGATTCCTCTTCCCTTCCCAACATTTTATTATGAAACTTTAACAGCAAACTTGAAATTTTACAATAAATACCTGTACATCTATCTAATATTTTGTGTTTAAAGATATATTATTTATACAGTATAAGAAGTTCCTTAGAGGTATAAATTTTGGTGTTTTTCACATATAAGTTAGCATCTTTGGCAAGTAACAATTTTTAAAATATTACTACTTTATCATTTTCTTCATCTATGATCAGATCATTTTCTAAATCTAAGCCAAATTTTTGGGTAGCACATTAATTTGAATCTGTATTCCTATTCATTTCAACTGCAAAGTAATGTTCATGGCTGCAATTGGGGTTTCTTATCATTATAGCCAGGTTGGGATTATGAAATTAATGAATAACTCCATCTCAAGGGGGTCATGATAGCCTACATCAAACATGAGGAAGATTGGGTTCAACATGGTGTTCTTCATTAGAATTGGTCCTGCAAATAAAATGTAATGTCTTTCCCCTGCTTCCTACTAGTAAGTAGTTTACATTACCAGAAAGTGGGTATGAGATGGATGCAAATTTTGTTGCCAGAGATTATGACCTATAGATTTTGGATTTATTCTCAGTAATGGAGGTCCACAGTCGCTTATCAAATTGCCAAAAAAAAAACACACCTCTGAAAACTGAGAGTTTGTAATGATTTATTTGGCAGCAACACTTGACATGAAGAGGAGAGGCTATTGATAATCTTTAGCCGTTATGCATTAATTTCACTGCAGAAATATTTATGTATTTGTTACAGTGGCATTATGTATGCAGAATGTTGCTTTTTTAGTTATTTATTTTAATATATTTTTATTGAGTTCAGAGAGGAAGAGGGAGAGAGAGATAGAAACATCAATCAGAGAGAATCATTGATTAACTTCCTCCTACATGCCCCACACTGGGGATTGAGCCTGCATCCCTGGGCATGTGCTCTGATTGGGAATCAAACCATAACCTCCTGGTTCATAGTTGACACTCAACCATTGAGCAGTGGGTTGAGAGTTGAGAAATCCAAGCTTTATAATCCTGGGCAAATCATTTCACCTCCTTGGGATACTGGGTTGCCTTAGCTGTTAATAAGTGGGTTAGATTAGATGATCTCATTGGTTCTTTACCTTTTTTGTAAGTTCTAAAGTATTCCAACTTACAAGTGAACTCTAAATATCTACAACCCTTGCATGAAAATCATTTTTATAACTTTACAGACACTCTTCTTTTTGAAACTGAACTGTTCGTTTTTATATGTTAAAGTCATAGAATTTTAGGGCCAGAAAAGACTTTAGTTCAGTGCCCTTTAAGTTGGATTTTGCACATCCACATAGGTGCCACAACTAAGTAGGTGAGGCTAAAACCAACATCCCCCCCGAATTGTATCTGCTTTAAATATTGGGGTTCTACATAGGAATTTTTTTGGAGGTAAGAGAGGAAAGTCCTCCGGGCTGTTCCAGTCGCCTTCATTTTGCAAATTAAGATGCTCATGCCCATGGGTATTATATAGGCTGCCAAGTTGGAGACAGGACTGGGGCTCTTGGTTCCCTAAGTTTGTTAGGAGTGTTCACTGAGGTATTTAGTCAACAAATAAATATCAAGATACATTGTCCAAATCAACACTGCCAGTGAAACTTTGTCATAGTGGAATTGTTCTGAGGCTGTACTATCCAATATGGCAGCCACTAGTCACATGTGGCTGTTGAGCTCTTGGAATATGGCTAGTGCAACTGAGGTATTGACTTTTAAAAAAATATATATTTTATTGATTTTTTACAGAGAGGAAGGGAGAGGGATAGAGAGTTCGAAACATCGATCAGCTGCCTCCTGCACACCCCCTATTGGGGATGTGCCCGCAACCAAGGTACATGCCCTTGACTGGAATTGAACCTGGAACCCTTCAGTCCTCAGGCCAATGCTCTATCCACTTAGCCAAACCGGTTAGGGCTAACTTTTAAATTTAATTTAATTTAAATCTGAATAGCAACATGTAGTCAGTTGGTAGCTACCATATTGTACAAAGCAGATCTGGAGTTTTACCTTCATGAGTTGCCAGACTTAGAAGCAGAATTTTTCAGAAGGGCAGAGATTTATTCGACCAAGTTATATTTCGGAGGGCAGATCCATGGCCTTATGAACTAGATTAAAGTAAATAGAGAAAATTCTCATTGTTGAATGGAGGAAATTATAGTAGACAGTGGAATTATATTTTAATAGTCATTTAGAGTACCTAACCTTACATGGTGGCCCAGAATTTGGAAAACTGACTGTAATCATTCTTTCATGATGGTTTATTTATATTCTGATTCACCCCACAAATTCAGAGGCCTCAAATAGATGGCATTTTTACTTGAAAAGCAGAAAAATACAGTATCTCTCTGTTTTATTTGGATTTGTGCTATCTACCTATTTTAGGGTCCATATTTTTCTGTAAGAAAAAACCACCCAAACCTAAGATCAGATGTGCATGTATTTTCCATTTTAGGATGGTTTTTGTCTTCGTGATTTCTGTTACAAATAGAAAAGTCAATTAGCTGACTAATGTCATCCATATAAATGTTTGACCAGAGACCCATGGTAATAGAGTTGGGTTGATTGCTGTCCAAAAGTAACACAATGCAGTGGCCGTTCACTTTCGGTTGATCCATTAGTGTGGTCTCTTTGTAAACGAACTATGAATAGAAAACAGGTTAAAATCTGAGATTTTCTTTTGTCTAGTTCTTCACAGAACTCCGAAACTGACTAAATACCTTGCTTCCTTGTAGTGTGGTTTCTTCAAGAGAAATAAGAAAGATCATTATGATGCCACATATCACAAGGCTGAGATCCATGCTCAGCCATCTGATAAAGAAAGGCTTACTTCTGATGCATAGTAGTGATCTACTTCTGTAATTGGTAATTGATCAATGTTTTTTTAATTGCTAGCTGTGGGACCTGCTATGGTTGTGGTGGCTAACTTTCAGAGCAACAGCTTGCTATGTGTGTCCCATTAACAGATGTTTCCAAATGTCCACACTGGCTTGCCCTGCTTGGAATGGTTTTATTTATGTCACTTGAAAGCTATTTTGTTTTGTTTTAAATGCACAGAGTCATTTGTTGCAGGTGAGTTGTTTTGTGTTGTGGTTAAACATCACCCATAGCAATGAAGAAACTGAAATCTGTATACACACAGAAGGAGGCTTCGTAGCCCCTTTTGCCACACAGTGTTCATTTAGTATGCAGCATCCCATGGAATTTCGAAGGTGCATGAGAAATCATCCCCGATTTCTTGTCCATTCTGGAATTTCCTACCGATGGATGCTTGTGTTGACTGCCTAATTAACCTTTTGCATGTTGGAAACATGGTGTTTCTCTGGGTGAGAGGACTTTCTCACTGTCATCTTTTGTATCTCCTTGCTATAAAGATGGGGGGAGGTTTGGAATGCTTTTATTGTTGCTCAGATATTGTTCTATGCTAGCTAAGCATGCACCTTCCTTTCCTGCATATCTACCTCAGGTCAAAGACCATTGCAGCAAACTGTGACTATTGGCATGATGGACATTACGGCCAATTTCAGAAGGCAGCTCTTTACCAAAGTGTTACCTTCAATATCCAAATTTTAGTATAAAAATGCTCTGGACAGTTTTTATTTCAATGGACTTTGACCTTGTTTCATATTCTTGAGATTCAGTTCCACCTTGGGATTCAATTGATTTTAAGTTCATGTTTTGTTTCTCTTATTTGTAAACCCATGGAAACAGGAATTGGAGATGATTCCTTTTTCCATTCCTGTGGGCGTGAGAGGATAGAATTACTCCAACAGTCCCTTTCCATGGCACCGTCACAGTGAATCCCAGCATCTCCCTTTAATTGTTGCATATCACCCTTGCTTTCCTTCTTTGTTTAAATGGGGCAAGAGCACATTTTGTAATAGGTAGATCTTTTGGCTTTTTTTGCACAGACTAAAGGAGTCCATGTTGAAATGGCCTTAGAACAAAACTTCTTGGCCCATTATTCCTATTGATTCAGTGATAACTGTATATGTAATTTTATTTTGCCCCATGACATTCTGATAACATAAGTTAATTCAATATTAACATTCTGTTCCTGTTGGGTTCATGTAATAAACAAATTAATCAACCATTCCAAGTATCTTCCTCATCCTATTAACTGCATTTTTAAATTGAAAACATCCTTTTTTTTTAAAAAAAAAAGGCACATATATTTCACTCATTTAAAATATTCAATTTGATTTTTAAATATCTAGATATGTTCTCAAGAAAAATCTACTTGGAATCATATTGAATATTTTTTAAATGAATAAAATATACATTCATTAAAAAAGAACAATTAGGCAGCGCTCTGAAATTCAGTCTGGTGATACTTTCCTTCAGCTCTCTGTTGGTACCTGATTGATTTTATTGCAGGATGGAGTTACTCCCCGATTTACTAATGAAACCGCTTATTGGGAAGCACAGCGCCAAGCCCGGGCTATGTGATTCTCTTTCTAGCTGGGGATGTGTCCCGCAGCCTCGGGGGAGAGAAGACTCTTAAACTGACCCATTCAAACACTGACATGTCCAAACTGTAACTTGTAAAATATCTGTGACCTGAGTGTCCTTTCGTTAGTGGAAGAGGGGCATGAAATAACCTTTGGTTTATGGCCTCTAAAAAAATTGTTCAAAATGATGTTCTTCTCATCTAAAAGTTAGCTCTTTTACAGATTGTATTGGGATTATAAAAAATGGGAGCACTGTTGCATAAACTTAACTTTCAGTAAGGAGAGAGCTCAGATTGTTTCCAAATGTAAAAACAATATGGAAAAAAGAGACTTTCCTAGCAGTTTTACAACTATTTTTCTCTTCCATTTATCCCCACTGGCTGTTAACATCTTCAGCCGATTAGTTTCTTCTGAAAAGAAAACCATGTCTTTTTTCCTTAGTCCAGAGGTAGGCCAATCTGAACAGAAAGCTTAGATATTCCCGGCTAGTGCACTTGCTTTCCTTGGGATTCCTAAACGTGCTTCTGTTTATCTTTCCTTCTTCTCCAGTGTGGATTCTTCAAACGCTCTAGGTACGATGAAAGCATTCCCCGATACCAAGCTGTAAAGATCCCGAAAGAAGAGCGAGAGATCAGAGATGAAAAATACAACGATCACCTGGAGAAAAAGCAGTGGATCACAAGGTGGAATGAAAATGAAAGCTACTCCTAGGGGCCAGAGGAGCGTCACAGGCCCCAACTGCTTTTTTCTTCCCCAGCTCAGAAATTCAAATGGTTTAAAAGCCTGATCCCTGACTATTGAGTTCAGACAGACTGCACCATAGTACGAACCGACAGTTTTAACTGCTGTGGACATTGTTACGTAGCCTACGGCTCCTGTTTTGTACAGCCAAATGTAAGACTGTTGGAATGGATTTTTCTGTAACTGCCTTAATTTAACTTTCCCGGTTGCCTTTGTTTTTGGTGTGGCTGACTCACACGTGCCGGGGAAGGCCCCGCCCAGTTGCGCTCATCTGACATCCTCCCGCTAGTGTAACTGGAAGAAGGCGCCCGTGGTCACCGTGTCAGCAGAGTGACCGTGGGTGCTGCCTCTGCAAGCGTTCTTCCCAATAGGACTGGAGAACCTGCAAGTTAACTGTCCCCCATCACAAGACAATGCCGTAGGGGTAGCTGTGTTTCCATTTAAAGTGCTATCTTAAATTAAATGTGCAATAGAAGGTGATGTTGCCATCCTGCTATCTTTTTCCATTTCCCAGACGTGTGAATACCTGTTCACACCAAAGACATCCAGGTTTCCTTCTCCCTTTTCACTAAAACACACAGGTGCAACTGACTTGAATGCTAGTTATCCTTATTTGTATATGGTATTTATTTTTTATTTTTTACAAACCATTTTGTTATTGACTAGCGGGCCAAAGATTCTCCAGTTTGTCCTGCAGGTTGGAGTAAGCAATCAGAATTAGAACATGGGAGGTCATTGGTTTGATCTAAAGTATTTACTGCAAAAAGAAAATAATGCTTTATAAATGTACCAGAGAGTTGTTATAATTTACAACATAAGTTATTAAAACATCTTCCTTCATGACATCCCTTACCTTGACCCCCTCCCTCCAAACCCAAAAGGTTTGTTTAAGAAATAGGATTAACCGTTAGAAGTTTAATTCTGAACAGACAATGGATATTTTTGAGTTTGGAGCCCTGTGTGACAATTATGAATTTTATGCTATAACTTTCAGGAACTCTTGGAAAAAAGGGGGTTTATTTCTTGACCTTTCACTGCTGTATATACAGGACTTGAAAGAAATGGTGAGTGCCTATGGTGGATCCAATCCGATCCAGTGGAAGACTACTGAATACCCGATACCAAAAGTCAGATTAGAACATCATGGCTTTTACGTTTTAAATATTATTGGAATCATGTCATGTGAGTCAGAGTTCTATTTTTTTGCTGTGTTTCCTCCCCTATGTATTTCCCCAAATTATTTTAGGACTACTCTAACAAGAACTTTAACTTGTTTTTTAAGTGTCAAAGTGGAGGAGGGGAGGAAGACATTATTCTTCTATACATTCAATAGAGATTGAATAGATATGAAAGCCAGATTTTAAAAAATGACTGTGCTTCAAGATGTTAAGTTATATGGGGAGCAACAGCAAACCAGGTGCTAATTTGTTTGGATGTAATGTAAGCTGTGTCTCATTCTTTTAAAAACAAAATACAGCTATGTACCATTGTTGCTTTGGAGTTTTAATTTTCTTTCCTTTTTGGAAATCTTATACCCTTAAGATACTAAGAACATTACTCTAGTTATACTTTAGAAATTTCATTCACAAATATTGTTTTCCAAATGATATTTTGTTTACAAAAATTTCTTGAGAACAGGTCATAACAGTGTTTAAAATCTCAGTTTCTTGCTTAGGTAACTTGGAACCCAATGTACTGGCTTCATAGGTTGCTAAGAAGCTGATTTTTGAACATGTTTATAGGCCCTTGTTGTAAAGACGAATGTCCTTGGGAAGGGGTGGGGAGGTGGGTGCAAGGGTGGCTCAACAACAAAGAAACAAGAATGTAGTGGTCTTTACGTTTATAGTTGTGAAAAATGTCATCTCAAGTCAAGTCACTGGTCTATTCTCATTTGATACATTTTTATACTAACTAGCATTGTAAAATTATTTCATGATTAGAAAATACCTGTGGATATTTGTATAAAAGTATGAAATAAATTTTTTTATGAAAGTGTTCATTACTTAGTAACACAGCATTGTATATGTGAAACAAACTCTAAAATTATAAGTAACCTGAATTGCTTTTTTTATTTCATTAAGCCAAACTAAAGTTTTCGATGTTTTTATTTATTCTGAGTGCCCCATATAATCTCAGATCAGCAGAAGCTATTAGTGTGCCCCCACAAATGCGATTGAGGGTTGTCCCCCCACTTGGCTTTACTGTTCAGTTGATACTCAAAAGAAAATGATCTTAAAGATGGTTTATTCAAGACATCTACACATTGGGAGATGTCTGTTTGCATTGATTCATCTGCTTCAAAGCTTATGCCTGTGAAGGAAAAGGTATTATTTAGCAATGATGCTATGGCATGAAAAATTAGAGATCTTATGGCTAAGTTGCTTTCTTAGAACACCTTTTGGATGTGAGAGCAGTCCAGCTGTGACATGTATCATTAAATTGACCACCAAGGACTGATTTAGCAGAGTTGAATGGTCAGGAAAAAAACTTACCAAAGGATTTTGTTTAGATTGAAGTGGTTTTATGAAACTTCTCTAGCTGGGTTATCACAATTTAATGAATGAAAAAAAAGCATATAGCCCTGGCCAGTGGCTGGTGTGGCCCAGTTGGTTGGGCATCATCCTGTGCACTGAAAGGTTGCCAGTTTGGTTCCCAGTCAGGGCACATGCCCAGGTGGTGGGTCTGATCATGCATGGGTTGTGGGCTCGGTCCCTGATAGGGGGTGTACATGGATGCTCTCACATCCATGTTTCTTTCCCTCTCCCTTCCTCTCTCTAAAAAATCAATTAAAAAATTTTTTTAAAAAAAGAGTCCTCAAACAATGCTGATTTACACAATTAAAAAATCATTTTAAAAAAAAAGCATGTAATAGTGCCCAGACAATACAGCATGCCCTACCTATCCTGAATAAATTTCCAATCTAAAATGTGTTATCTGTCCAGTATTTTCCATTATACTTAGTATTATACAGTAAATTTTAGCCTTCTTAATTCTTTGAAGATCAAACAGGTGTTACCACCCAAAGAAATGTGTGATTTGTACTTTTTAATCAAGGGCCAGAGGCTGTGAACCTTTTTTTAGCCACAGTCCAAGGATATATCCAGATTAAATCTCTGTAATAATGTGTAATCACCATAACCATTAAAGATGTCCGTAGCTGTGGTCTGGCTAGGGCTCTGGCATAAATGACCTGGGCTGGAGGTCATGGCAGTGCTGTATATGGCTCCTGTGACTCCACCTCTTTCTCTCCCTCTTGGATGGGAGCATACAGGAATGCCTCTCCATGGTAATGGTATTACTAGGATAGGGCTATCCTTGGGTACGTTTGCAAACATTGACACTTTGTTGGTTGCAGAGCACTTGCTATTATCTCATATATGAGTCATGGCTTATGTTGTGTCCTTGTGGTTGAGAATATTCTAGAATGTAGGGTAGATGTAGGTGGGGAATGCTTTTAATTGTCCAGACTTGGGACGTAAGCATAAGATTGAACATTCTATCCTAAATGAAAACATCTTAATGAGAAACTGATCTCTAGGACACAACCCACAAAAAGACAATGTGGGAAGACAGACTAGGGTTGTTAGGTTGTTTTGTTTTAAAGGAGGGAAAGAAGGAAATGCTGTAGGTGGCTGGGTTCCACATACGGACGTCCTCAGGGCTGAGAAAACTGAACGTGGAAAAGTTATTTGATCAGCTTGTAGCATAAAGTAAATGATTAAAGGCAGTTCCTCGAATCAAAGGAGAGGGTCCAACTGAGGGGAAGGCAAGGTTCAATGAGATGAAGAAAGTGAACTTGAGAATGATTTCAAAGGAGTGGCTATTGCAAAGAAGCTAGTAGGCGTCTGTTCTGGGAGTTAGTGATGGTTAAATGGCAAGTGAGTATTTCTTGTTCCTCAAAAAACAGGTTTTATTAACTCAGAAAGACATCCTATCCAGCTGTTAGGATATGTGGGAGTGGTGTGAACTAGTGGCTGGAGCCAGAGGTGTTGCCAACAGACCCATCTAGGAGGAATGTTATAAAGGGAATTCAAGATTACATCCTCTGATGAAGGATAAGTGAATTGTAAACACAAATCTGAGTAAGAAAACTGTTCCATCACAGTGCAGGGGTGGGCAGGTGCCCACAAAGGGCAAGCTAACCAGGTCATGGTTGATTACACTGGAGTGAAGGAGTCACGTGCAATTTTTGCAGCTGTCAGCAAGTTTAAATGCCTCAATCTTCTCTTCGCCTTTGCCCTGGAGCCATTCCTCAGTCAGGCTGCCTGTGCCAGGGTCACTGAAATGGACAGAGGCAGACCTGTTGGAGGTCGGATAAAACTTCTCACACACTGTTCTGGAACATCCACAGAAAATCTGAAATTCCAGGGACAGGGAGTGCTGCTTTCATTTTCTCATGGCCCAGCAGATAAATATTTAACTCCTCAATAACCAGCAGATTTGAGTTTTCTGTGAAGATCCTGTCATTGTGAGATGGAGATAGACATGGTCCAATCATTTTTCCCTCCAATGTCCAAGGATGTTATTAGGCTCTGGGGCTACACATACAAATAAGACACTGGCTCTGACCTTTTGGAGGAAGCTTATATTTAAAACAACAGATGATACCGACAAACAGGTGGATGCAATTTATGTAAGTAGCAGAATTCAAAATCATGCACTATGATGTCCATTGTTGACCTGATCTTACCTGGGTGGAACTTGTCTTTGGAACCAACACCAATCCCAGAAAAATTGGAGTAGTGATTCTGAACCTGGGCTGCACACTTGAACACCTCAAGAACATTTTTTAAAATCCCAGTGCCCAGACTACATGTCTGACTGACTCGATCAGAACCTCTGAGGGTGGGACCCAGGTATCAGTGCTGTTTAAGGCTCCCCAAGTGACTCTTAAACTACAGCCAAGTTTGAGAACTGCTTCAGCGGTGTCAGATGGCCTGAATATTTATCGAAAGGGCTCTGCCCACTGTGTGGGAGCGCCCCATTTCTACTTGCGGTGCCTCTATACTAGTAAGGAGCTGAGAAGGTAGAGGTATATTTGCCATAAGGCTCAAGTCATGCTACCTGGATATAAATTAGCTTCCCCTCTTGGAATATAATCCTGGTGAGTGACTGACACATCGTACCCCTGTTTCCTCTATAACATAGGATTAATAATAGTACCCATCTCATAGGTCCTTGTAAGGAGTAAATGAGAAGATCTGGTAGTGTTCATTAAATGTTAAGCTATTTTTTAAAAATACGTTTTTACTGATTTTAGAGAGGAAGGGAGAGGGAGTGAGATAGAAACATCAATGATCGGCTGCCTCCTGCATGCCCTCAACCCAAACATGTGCTCTGACCGGGAATTGAACCATGACCTGGTTCATAGGATGATGCTCAACCACTAAGCCACACCGGCCAGGCTAAATGTTAGGTATTTTTATAGTCTAGTTTTACTTCCTCATTTCACAGATGGGTAAACACAGTTTCAGTTGTCACTGGAACCTTCTGTCTCCTCACTCACTCTTCAAAGTCTATCATGACTTATCAGAGGGTGTGAGAGCTACAATCTGCAAGACTAACTAAACAAACAAAAAAGAGATCCTAACTCTTAAATTTAAACTTATCAATATAGGTCATTTTGTACAAGACTGACCTTTTTTCTGTGTTTAAACTCCATCGCAGTACTTACTACAGGGACCATCTGCAGGTTTGGGTTGGGGTCGGAGCACACAGAGTCAGTGTATAGGCATCTTGAGGTTGCTATGTACCGATTCTTGATTAAAAAGGAAAAGAAATGTAAGTATATAAAGCAGATTCTTTTTTTGAACCCTTTCTCAGTTCTTTACACACACGATAAAGTCTCCAGTTTCCTTCAGTGGGAGGGCAGCCTGCAGTTTCATCACTTGTATCTTTACTGCTGTGCAGAGGAGGGAATGCTGCTCACAGGGCCCATCTTGTGCTTGAGTTACATCATGTGTGTGAGACCAAAGTTGTCATTGGAGGAGCAGAGTACGAAACCTCCCATTTCTCTTCAACAAAACTCCCTTTTGTTAAAGGCAAAAAAAGAAAACATTCCCCCGAAGATTGGTGGGCTGTCTGATTCCAGGTGTCCTCAAATTGCTGCTGGAGCTGCAGTTCTAGGGCATTTACCTAACCGAGGAAGCCAGCTCTGGTTAGGAAGTCAGAATCAACAGAGTGGTTGAGAGCAGTCCTCCTCACACTTTAACATGCCTATGAGTCACCTGGGATCTCGTTAAGATGCAGGTTTTGATTCAAAAGTTTGGGATACAGCCTGAGAGTCTACCTTTCCAACAAGCTCCACGTGCTGTGATGTTGCTGGTCCATGGATTACGTTTTAGGTAGCAAGGATCTTTGGAGTCAGTCTTTGTTCAAGTCCCTGCTCTGCCACTTTCAACTTGGGTGACCTTAGGCAAGTTTACTAACCTTCATTGTTTGACTTCCTCATCTGTAAAGTGGTACAGGGATAACTAGGATTATAACCTAGGTTTCCAGCCAAAAGATACCATCTTCTCCTTTCTCTAGAACTTCCAATCCCCTAACATCCTCAAACATAATAAAGAGCAACCAGGGCACATTTTAGTCTTTGTTATATCTGAGCATATAGCTTGCACTGTCTTGCCAGGATAGTCTTAGACTACTGTTGTGGGCCATGCTTTCAAGATACCTGCCCTGCTGGAAACAAAAACCCCATTATAGTGAACAACAGAATGGGGAACAATATGCCAGTTCTAGTAAGTGACTCACAGATGTTGGTTGGTCATAGTCACGTCTCTAAATCACCAACAAAACAAAAAGATTGAGATAAGGTTCAGGCTTACTTTAAGAGTGAAGTGTTTGCAATCTGACATTTCTCAGGTATCAACTACCCAGTTTTTCTTTGCCAGTTCCCACCACAAGCAATCCAGATACTCCTCCCAGCCCTACCTGGTTTGGCTCAGTGGATAGATCATCGGCCTGCGGACTGAAGGTTCAATTCCGGTCAAGGGCATGTGT